ACATTGATTGTGCTATTCTAGCTGCAGAAGGCTTTCACTCCCCATCTTCAAAATGTATAACTCTTTTTTTTTCCTTATTAGCAATACAGTCAGCACCATCAGAAAGGAGGAAAGGCAAACTAGAGAAGAAGCTGAGGAAAGAATTGAGGTTTTTAAAAAGTTTGGTACATGTGAGGGCCACTACAAAGTAATRGGGATAGGTTTGAGCTTTTAAGAGGTTATATGATTGCATCTTAGCAAAGAATATTCCTTACAAATGCAAAATGCCGCCCCCCCCAGTGCTTCTACAGCTAGCCCTCTCAGCCTAGAGTGCCCTGGTTAACCTGTAGCTGTTTAGCTAGAAGTGCTGTTTGTTTTCAGTATGTAACCAGGTGTTGGCAGTTTCTCAGACAGGACTGCAGCCCTTGACAGGAGGAACTTGAATTCCATTTGAACCGGAAATACTGGACTTTAGACATTTTTTTTTTAGACTTTTTTTAAATTACTGATTTTAACCCTTTTTCTTTGAGCAAGTTATAGAAAATGATAAGAAAACAGCTCAACAGTAAAATTGAAAGTTATAAAGTTTGTTGATAAAAGTGTTGTCACTACATTGAGCCTGGGTTTTGGTTAAAATTCCAGTTGAGTCTGTTTTCTCTCTCCTTCCACATTTCAGTCCAAGACAAAGGGCCTGTGCTGAAATCTTAGMATAACTTGTTTCTTATCTTACTTAATAAAGGGCACCTTCATACCCTTTGRTAAAAATGAAGTATGTATCTCTTTAGATATAAGTATTGCTGTGTTATAAATATCTCTATTATCATCTATGGGATGACAGAGGAAACTTGGGAGATGTGACTCAAACAGGAAGGGAAAATGGCTGTTGAAGGCTCCCTTGTTGCCTTGCAGCCTAAGTATCTACTTCTCTGTTAGCATTGCCCTTATGCCTAGGCAGGCAAAGGTCAGTCTGGTGGTGGTAGATAACCAGTGCTGGGCTGATGAACTGGCCATGTTCAGGCAGGACAATGCCATCTCTGGTTCAAGTGGTTGAACTAAAGTCCAGCTTCAGTTCAATCCTGGGGAAATACAAAGGTTCTTGATGATGATAGAAGCCTCCTGTATATAAAGAACTGGAGTCRCCTCAGGAAATCCACACCAGGGCTTTGTTTTAGGTCTTTTGGTATTCTTTTGGCCTGTGGGTACCCAAAACTTTGGGTAGACAAAATACTTGTATACTTATATTTTTTAGCTGCTGCCGCGATGATAACTGATGCCTGTGTGCACTCATTTAATACATTCATTTACCTTTATACTCATTCATTTTATATGCTATTTTAACCTTAAATGTTATTTGAAGTAATTCACAGTTACAGAAAAGTTATATAGTACGAAGAATTCCCGTATCCCCTTTACCAGACTCCATAAAAGTTAACATCACCACATTTGCTTTATCAAAGTATGTGTGTGTACCCACATTCSTGTTCTTTTTCTCTAACTTTTGAGAGTAAGTTCCAGCTACAGTGTCTTTTTTACCCAAACTGCAGTCTTTTTGCTRCAAACACATTCTCTTACATCGCACAGTGGGGTGATAAATAGCAATTATTATTGATATAATACTATCAAATCTAGAGGCATTATTTACATTTTCCCAAGTATTTCATTGATTCTTTTTTCCTTAAAAAATTATTATTTAGTAAAAAATGATTTATTTAAAGTAACTTTCACCCTCTTTTAAGTGTGTGGTTCTATGAGTTCCAGCAAATCTGTAGAGGCCTCTAACGTTCTTGGCTAARCCTGACTTTATGACTCTCCCCAAGCAGTGGAGCTGCTCTACAGGTCGGGGCCAGGATTCATTCCCACAGATTGACTCTGTTTCCGGCCCCCAGTGGGCATGGGTCATCCGCTGTGCCCTCAAGATAACAATGTTTGCTGCCTTTCCCTGGAGTTTTAGGACTTTTGTCTCACAGGGAGTGTCGTACCCTGCCCTGGGTGGTATAGTCTGAACATAAAATCCATGTTGAAATGCTCTCAGGCACTAGGGGGCCTCGGGRGGTAATTAAGAGGTTTGCCTTGSCCCTTCCACCACGTGAGGACACTGCAGAAAGCACGGTCTGTGAACCAGGAAACAGGCCCTCACAAGACAATGAATCCTTTAACGCCTTGATCTGGGGTTTCCCAGCCCCAGAACTATAARAAATAGATTGCTGTTGTTTATAAGCAACCTATTTCCATGGTATATTGCTATAGCAGCACAGACAGGCCAAGACACTAGAGATTCCTACTTCCCTTTGCCTGCACCAGAAGARAGCTTCTTCAGACTCTTATTGCCCCCAGGTTTCTTATGAGCACTGGTAAGGTCCCCAGAGAAGAAGAGCCTGTGATGGGTGTCATTTCCCCTTGTGCCTCCAGCCCTCCTATCCTCYCCTGGTAGCCTGTATTGGCCTTTAGCAATTTATTAACAATTTTAGTCAAATCCTCCTTTCCAATCCTGGGCTCTCCCCCAGGTATTGAGTGGTCAGGTTCTGCCTCTCTGTGGACGATTCCTTCTTCCTTATATGTGGAGTTGGCCGGTTTCCCTGAAACCACAGCTCTATGACAGATTCAAAAAAAGCTGTGACTCCACAGGTTGTAAGTCATTGTAAGAACAAGGGCAGGATTGACTTTTTACTTTTCTATATTCTGAGCAGAAGCCAGACATCCCCTTGACATTCTTTGATTATCTATGAATTTTATTTTTTTAATTACTACATCTTATAGAACATTTAGAAAAAAAACACTACTGTTTCCTGACATCAGTAATAATAAAAAAAAAATCATTGAAGCATTCAGGTAGTTGWGCATTACAATTAGAAACTTCTTTCCTGGAGATTAAGCAATAATCTGAAAACAAAACTATCACATTGTTAACAGGACAGATTTAAGAGTCAACAAAGTGGTACAGTGATTAAGCAGCTAGGTTTAAAGTTTGCACTTAATCATACCTTCTGAAAGGTTCTCTCCTGCAGTTGCTTTGACTCACGCTAAAAACATTGTTTATCTTTTCCCTGAGACTTATAAAGGGAAAAAAAATCTGATTCTATAGTGTTCACCTCTGCCAAGCTAAGATATGGACTTACGTGGTAAGAGGCTTTTAGCCCGGTAATCTACTCTGAAAGTTATAGGAAGCCTTCAAGTATTTTGAAGGGAAACTAGTAATTTAAAGTGAGGGAAAATGCCTTCACTATAAGGAAATCCAGGTGCCTGGAATGACTACAGTGCTAGCAATTATATAGAAAATGTTTATATGTGAAGTATCCCAAAATAAATTCCTGAACATAGAAGGATCCAAACATGATAACTGGCTCTCTGAGGTTTACCCCTCAGGGTGTGGTGAGGAAGCCACAATAGCTTTTAACTTTGTTAGGAAATTGTGTCATTTCTTAAAAGCAGCTAGTTAGTCACCGACTTTTATTGGTTGTCTTTTGTGTTAGCTGTTGTGGAGATCTGAGATGTTGTCAAAGAATAATTATTCTGAATAATTGTTGAAAGGTGGACTCCCTTTGTCTAAATATAGATGTCCCAGTGATAAGTCACCACTGCAGCTGGGTCCCACAGTGATTTGCACTCTGGCTGTCCTTTGGGGTTGGGACAGAGCCAACCATTCGTTTCTTTTTAGTGTTCTCCCGTGAACTTTTAATTCCCTCATACCTGGCCAGAAACCCTCCTGGATCTCTGATCTCAATTCTCCCAGTTCTGATCCCGGTGTCTGAGACTCCCTGACAAGCCAAAGCTACCTTCCACAAATAGCTCATTYATCTCATAAAAATCTGAGAAAACAAACCTCCACCAAAGTGTTTTTTACTGGAACATCTTCCTTAAGAGAATACTTCCTTCTCATATTTTTTTCTCCTTTCCATTTACTTAGAGCAGAGCACAGTAGAATTCTAGGCATGCAACTCCTCAGGGTGCTTCAGGCCACTTTAAGCTCTGGCCTTCTGGTCTGTATGGAGACAGACCTTCTGCCTCCTCCTCCAGATGAGGCTGCAGATTCATTCCTGCTGGAGCATGGCTTTCAGTGTGTGTAGTGAGGGTGATCTGTTTCCTGTACAATCCTGCCTGTTTGTCTTCCTGATACCTACCTGTGGGAGGAGTGCCTTCTCTGAAAAAGAGAACAGATTTTTCTCCTTTTCCTTGAATCTTCAGCTTCACATCCAAGTGTTGGTTTAATATTTAGGGTATATGTAACTGATATCAGTCCCTATCCAGGTTCAGGGCCTCTTAAAACCTCCAGATTCCCTGATGAGAAAAGAGGTTTCTCTCTTGACTCTAAATTGAATAGAGACCAATAATCTTTACCTGTCCACTTCAACCAACTAAGCAATTAATAAAGAAAGCACTCCTTCTTCAAGCATGAATATCCTTAGCTGAGCCCAGGATTTGTACAATACTGCATGAACTTTCCTGGTGGGTTCACTATCTTATAGCACTGGGCTTGGCTCAAGGGATACCAAGGTGCAGTGCCCTTCAGGGAGTAAGTTCTGAGTAGTCTGACCATGGTAGGAAACTTGTTTTAAGTCCTCTTRTGTTGAATTGAGGAGGCAAGAGTGTAACACCACACTTGCAATCCATTTAGAAACACAACATGTCAGAGGATTAAAAAAAAAAAAAACCTTAGAGTCTAGTTGTGAAAATCTGCTGTTAGATGTTAGGGCTGGGCTCATGAAGAACTGAGTATTTCAGTTCAACTTCAGAAAGTATTTACTTGTGTTCATTTTATTTTGTACTATTCTGTATATTTGTTTTGATGTAAAGGTTTCCTCCTAGGGAAGTGTACAATTTTGCAAAGGTATGTAAAAATACTCATTGAAGCACTATTTTTAATATAGAAATATTAGAAATTAATGTTCATCCATAGGATAATGGATAAATTATAGTCCTGTTATTTAATGGGATACTATACAGCAGAGAAAGTCAACAAAGTCCAAATATTCTGAGTCATCCTGGACAATTAATAGAAACATTCTTTCTTACATCCTGTATAGGGAGAACAAGGACCTCAAGGTTTCCCAGGACCAAAGGGCACCAGGGGCCAAGGCCTCCCAGGTCAGAAGGTAAGTATTTCAGGATATTAGAGAAATGCTGTGGCTTGAGCTCTCAATAGCTTAACTTTGACTTTAAATGAGCTCTCACGTATGCATCACACTTCATCCTAACACTCTCAGATGTCCATGTGGAATTGAAACCTTGTGCATAGCCCTTTCTACTTATAAATGTGCTCATTTTAAAAAATCTTGCCTTCATTCTTAAAAGCCAGACAATGAAGGGATAAATCCTTACAACACACCTACAGGAGATAAGAGATAACTCAGGAATCTGGACAATTATGCAATAGCCTTCCCTGAAGTTGTGGAGTTGATCACATGGTCCCTCCATATCTCTGGTTCATTATAAATTGGATAACAATGGTTGAGGGAGTGTAAACAAATTGCTCTCAATTTTTTTTTTCATATTATATATTTGTATCAACAAGAGCTCCAGGTCTTGAAGAGATACCAGTTGCAAATAAACCAAGTTGCAGAGTTTTTGCTATTTGACTTTAATGCTTATACTTTAAACTTCTCTTTTTATCATATTTTTAAAGGGTGAGCATGGAGAACAGGGTGATGTGGGAAAGAAAGGTGAAAAGGGTGAACTTGGAGACCCAGGATCTCCAGGAAAACAGGCAAGATGCGATTTAAAAAGTTGTGACTTTATACTCATGTCTGGGTTCCAACTATATTGACTGTTAACTCTTCTTGCACTATGTAGGGATTACAAGGACCAAAAGGAGATGCAGGACTTACAGTGAGTATCTGCTCTAGTGGGTAATTGAGGGTTTTGTGCTTGCAAAATTATCGCATCCATGTTTTAGCTTTAGAATTATGAATTCTTTGGATGCAGGATTCTAGTTGGTATTTAAATGATGGTTACTGCTACCAGCCCAGTGTTGAATTAGATGCATGAGGTAATTGCATTCGACCGTGGAGGAGAAATTACWCCAGGCAGCCTTGGCTAACTTGTGGTGGAGGTGTGACCAGTCTCCTCACACCCCCTGGTAGAAATGATCACACTGCTATTATTGGCAACAAGGAAGTGAGCTGTTTACAAGAAACTGAATGTCCAAATGATTTCTTATTTTATCTGATCCTTCTCATTTCAGAATGGGGGCTCTTTTTCCTGTACTGGTTTCTTTAAGAAGTGTTCCAAGGAAAACAGCAACACAAAATCAGGATTATGCTTATGTATTGATTTACCTTTCAACAAATATTTGTTAAGCAGCCACATTTTCCTGCTCGTTTCCACACACCATTAAAAACAGAGAAAAAAAAAAAAAAACCTGACTCTTTAGACACACATRGATGGGAAGGTTCTAGAGTTTCTGTAGCTAATCCTAATTCTTCCTTTCTGATTCATTCTTGTCTGATCGGAAGATACTACATCTCCTGGAGTAGAAGAGGAAAAGGGACCTTTTCTTTTTGTTGACTTTTCTCTAGGTCATGGTCTGGAGATGCTGATGTTCTGTGCCAGGAAAATCCAAGTGTGAGGGTGTGGGAGTTCAGGTGCTGACAACAAGAGCAGAGAGGCACACATGGAACCTCTTTTCCTATGACCCCAAAAATGCCTACAGTGGATGAAGCAGCTATATATATAGTAATTTCCTCCCCACAAAACAAGCAGCAGGGGAAAGTGTACATAAATAACCAGTGGGACTTCACCATATTATCCCAGCATGAGGAATTGGACTTCATCCATGTAATCTTCATCCATTTATTTGCTCATTTATTTCTTTCTTTCACTGGTATTTTAGGGGAGTGTAGTGAGTCAGGCTCTGAGATAGAGAGGTACTAGGGAAATAGTAGAGAATAAGAGTCTGTCTCCCTGTCCTCAAAGAGCTGACAGCCCCGTGGGAACAAAGACATAAGGTTGTTTATCCACAATGTGATGAATGCCATGACAGAAATAGTTAGGAGAGTCCAGAGCGGACAGTGACGTGTGATATTGATACCACTGGTTCCYGGTGACGATGAGTTCTGTTTCCCAGAGGTGAAGATTAAGCACCAGAGAAATGCCGAGGTAAGCGTAGAAAGCAAGTTTAAAGAATAAAACAGACTTCTCCCAGGAAGAAGGGGGCCATAGCTGGTATCCAAAGAAGTGGGAGTGTCCTGTMCCTTTTATACATCTTAGATTTCCTTGTTCTCCTGCCCTCTCCCCCCTTATCTTGCTCCTTCATTTTGCCATCTTGCCTAAGTGACTGGAGGCCAAGAGATGCCCATGGGATGGCCAAAAAATCAGCCCAGGCAGTATCAATTAACAACTCAAAACTACCTGCTGGGAGAAACAATTCTTGGGGCAAGTCACCTTAGCAACAGGTTGGAGCAGGAGCAGGGAGAAGGGCTTTGGAAGGAAGAGGGGGAAAGGGCAGCGTTTGATTTTCTTACTGACCAGCCCCCACCTTCCCCATCAGACCCAATTATTTATTATTTACATTGATTATTTTTTTGCCCTCTGGCCTCAAAATGTTTGGAGCAACAGATAAAGGCTCCAAACTTTATCTGTTGAGTGCAGGGTTTTAAACCATAAAGCAATGATCTTAGTAATGGAGACATCATTTTATTGACATTGGTTTTCAAGATTTTAGAACAAGAGGCTAACAGGATGGGAAGAGTGAAGGGAAAGAGAATGTACATTGTTAAAATCTAACAGGTGACAGGCACTGAGCTAGGCTCCTTCACATCAGTATCAGCTTTTCTCAGCCACCTAGGTGCTCCAGCTTTGGAGGGCTGTACTCCTTCTGGTGAGCATTCCTTGGGGCCAAAGGGCATGGTCACTCTATGCATAACCACCACCTCCACCATTTGCCATAGTCTAAATACACCTGACCCTATTCTTCCTACCACACACCCTGTGTCACAAATTTACTGAAGTATCATAATGCAATGTGATTTGTGTGACTGCCACTCCTTCTGCCTGGAATGTTCCTCCTCCACCCACCCCACCCCAAAGGACTCATAGTTTGGAAAGTCAACAACATTAACCTGCATGCCTTGGCCCACCTAAAAGGTGGCAAAGGGTCATGTATTTTCAGAGAATCTGGGTTAAGTTTGGGAGGAAGGACTGGATTCACTGCATGAATGCTGGCCAAGGCCTAATACAGTGTAGGGTTGGTGAGGATAAGGATGTTTAAAAAAAAAAAAAAATAGGGCAGGCTGATTGGCAAGGCCTTCTCATGTCTAATACTCCATATTTAATGTACATGACAGCTCCATGTGGAAGGTAGTATTGTCTGTACTTCTGATGAAGACATACTAAGTCAGACAGAAAGGTTGAGCAATATACCCAAAGTCACCTAGTGAGCAAGTAAGCAGGGCTTTTTAACTAGAGTTGGCCTGTCCCCTGCCAAATCCAGGCTGCTCCCCCATGAAAGCTCCCCTTGGAAGGCCTCTCTCATTTCCCTACCCTCATTCTCTTCCTGAACAAATGTATCCCCCAAATAGCTGTCAATTACAGATTCCTTCCARACTAACAAACGCTTTTAAGAGGGAAGTACTATTGATGGAGTGAAATATTTTAGATAATTCTCAGCAAATTATGTAAAAAGATTCTGTTATTCCACCTGTCCCTTCAATATTGGCATTTCCCAGTGACAACCCTTCAGTCTTCTCTTCTCCATCTTCAATCTTTGACACCTTCTTCCCCTCATCCCTTYTTTCAGTTACTCTCCAGTTCCCTTCATGCTCCATCTGGAATGTTCTTCCAGGCCTGTCTTCCCCACCCATCACTATCACCACTGCCTTCTGGTATCATTTTCTTTACCTGATCTATTCAGGAACTTCAAACCCCTCCACCAGTTGCTGTGATCTTCTTTCTTAAACAGGAGTGAGACCAGAGCTCTTCTGCTCTTAGGGATCACCTGTACTCAATGTGCAGCTCAAGTTCACACCTTCAACATAACACCCAGGCTCCCTGACTGCTACATTTCTGTTCTTCCTACCACRCACCTGGAGTCACCAGCTTACTCAAGTACTGTAATGCAGTGTTCTTTGTGTGAGTGCCCTTCCCTCTGCCTGGAAGGTGCCTTCTGTCTCCATCCACCCCAAATCAGTCAGAGTCTGCCTCTCTGGACCACTGCCCCAACCCCAGCAGACCTCGTGGTTCTCTGGCTCTCTGAGCACTTATAGAAGTCTTTGCCTATTTGTTTACTGCCTACTAGACTGTGACCTCTTTTATAGAATAAATTTGATGCCTTTGTTKTTGGCACCAAATAGCCAAAGTAGTTATTCAGTGACTTTAGTGAAAGAATAAACTGTTCCAGTCAGTTCATAGAAAAGGGAAAAGTTGATATGTATRCAGCCAATTATACATGCCATAAAAACATGTTGAAAAGAATTAAAATACAGCCTTAATGTATACAGTGCCCTTATAGGCCAACAAAGGACCAACTTTAAAATTAAAGAAAACGGGACAAAATACAGACTGTGTGTTCAAGAATATAACTTGGGAACATGCATATGAAATAAAATTTGACTTCACTAGCAATCCAATAAATCAATTTAAAACAATAAAACGTTTTGGTCTACCAAATTGCAGTGATTAGAAATAATAACAACTAGCATTGTATGTCTAAAATAAAATAGCTTTTCTTATATAACTCTACCATTTACCCACTAGGTCAGCCTGCATCTTAGTTCAACACCAACTACTTTATTCTAGCTGCAGAAGGCTTTCACTTCCCATCTTCAAAATGTGTAACTCCTTTTGTTCCTTATATATTGCTATTGGAGATGTCAGTTACTGTAACTTTTGTGAAGGATAGGTTAGCAGCATTCATCAGAGAGCTATACATCCAAAAGTGATCACACATTTGACTTTAGAGATGGAGTTTTTTAGAACATTTAATAATATGAGAAATTAATTATAAGGTCAAGTGCAAAACTATAATCATAAAATTTGGTATAGAGTATTTTCTCTACATTAAAAAGTTAAACATGAAAATATAAATTTATGGTTCCCCTTTCTAGTTATACTTAATATAAATTCATACATGTTCCTTCCCATATATATTCTAATTACAAATTTATTAAATGTCTCTCTGAACATGGAAAAGTATAGCAAGTTCTGAGAAAACAGGGTTGACCTCTTCATTTTATATAATTTTGTAATGTAACTCAGCATGGTATTAGAGGGTCTTCTTACATAGTTACTGGGAATCATTGTTTTTTGCTCAGTTTATAATTTAAAAACTTAGATTTAAATGACTGAATAGTTCCCATATATATGTTACCAGATATGTCACCTGTGTCCCAATTCTGTCATTATAGATTTATTCCTTAAAATTTTGCTCCTGAATCTGTTAAATTTTATCTTCTTAGATTAGGTCCACTGGCTCCTTCCTGTTGAAATCCAAGCTTCTGTAAATCCTCCTTTTCAGCTTCATGTCTTTGGCAAATGTGGTCTCCTGCCTTCTGTAGTCTCATCTCAGTCACTTTAAATATGCCACACTGGGAAGGGCATCACAAATTGACTTCTGGTACCCAGGTGATCTCAGGCCCTTCTGTGGAGCTGACGTACTGCAGGATGAAGGAAGGAGCATTCAGAAACACAGGGATGTTTCCTAGAAGAGCCAAAGTGAGGGTAGTAGAAAACTGAGGTGGGGACTTTCAGAACTGAGGATTGGTGCAGAAAAAAAACAGAAAGGACTTCAGCCTAGAATGAATTCTTTTAGACCCTGAAGCATGCCTTGGTTTCTCAGCACACTAAGCAACTAAGTAGTTTTAGTCACATTACTGAACGCGCACGACTGCACCTCGCTATTGTGTAGGTAGTGCTTAGTGGGGACAGACCTCGGGCTAAGAGCTGTATGTGCATTTACCTCATTCCATCTGCACCACAGCCCTGCGATGCAGACACTGTTAGGTCACCTAATAGCCAAGGTTACAAGCTGATAAATGCTGAAATTGCAATTGAACTCCAGAACTCTGAGCGATTAAGTTTCACAACTCAACCTCATTTCAGTTATGATCTATTATACCCAACTTTTAAACCTCTGTGCTATTTCATTTTCTGCAGTGGAAGGATTACATCAAATGGCTCACTGCTGATTATAGTAAGACAACTTTTAAGACTCTGGGAAAAAAATACTATAGTCATACATTTAATGCTAACACATTTTCCTTTTTCTCCCCAGAGAGAAGATATTATTGARCTCATTATTAAAATATGTGGTAAGATTTAACTATCAAAGAAAAAAGTCCACCCATTTAAGGTACCATCCTCGCTATGGTCTGTGTTGGTGTGRTAAGGAGTTCCCTCAGAGGAAGTGTATTATATGGCTAGTGAGGGGTGTGCAAAGTCAGAGGGAAACTGAGAGGAAGCAGTGAGCGAGGCTGTGGGAACCCTGACTGAGCAAAGGAAGTTGTCTTTGCTGTGGTTAGGGAGCCTGAGGTTCCTGACTTAGTGTGTGTGGGTAGCCTGGTCTTTTGTAAGCTCAGTGCTTTTTGTAAGCTCAGTGGTGTTATGTTGAAGGTGTGAACTTGAGCTGCACATTCATTTACCTGAACTAGGGAAGGGAAAAACAAACAAACAGGAAATATGACTACAAAAACCAACTGGTACACAAGTCCAGTCTAGCTGGTGGTTTAATGTGTTTTTCCTGAAGCCAAGAAGTCTGAGTTGAGTTTTGAACATGATTTCTAGGGCTATCCTTGATCTCAAAGGCAGAAGGACATTCAGTTGTTCATTTTGCTTCACAGTGATATCTAAATGAATCTATGATGGACCACTTTAGACTTAAAATAGGTGTCAGAAAGGGGAACTTAAGGAAAGAGATCAGCCACAGGCAAATAATAATAATAATAATAATAATAATAATAATAATGAAATAAAGATGAGAGAGACTCTTATGCTTAAAGTGGTCGAAGGCAGGACATCACTGTCTTTCCATACAGGGAATCCCAGAACTGGCTTGTCCCCTAAAAGGCATCTGGACCTAAGAGCCAACCTGAAACTCTATGATGACAGACCAATAAGGACATGGGTTCTGGGTACTAAAAGTCCTGTGAAAATAACACCAATTTCCTGATGACTTTCTATGGTTGGTTGGTGAGCAACAGGAGGAGATATATATATATATATATTTATATATATATAAAAGAAAGAAAACTCTGATAATTTTTATCCTCTGGGGACTCTTAGAATTGCTTTGAATGATTGTTTACTGACTTAAACAAACGCTGTTCATTGACCAGTGCTCTCTGGAATCCCTCCTCTCAAACAGTTTCACAGCATAGATGGACTAACGGTCTCTTTGATAACGTGGAAGCCACTACAGTCCTCATTGTGGGTGATTAGACATAAATAGAGTAGTTATGGGCAGCTACTCTTATGTATAGTTTAAGACCTCAATCCTTCCCCCTCACAATTAAAAATTCTCATCCCAATACTTCCTCCATGCCAGAGAGCAAATCTCCAGTTTCATGTAAGGGTTGAAGCTTTCAGATGTAGATTAAGAACAGATGTTGAAATGATGAAGGACAGATTTTGGACAGTAGTTACCTCTTAGAGGAAGAGTAATAAAATTGGGAAGGCACACACTGGGCATGCTAGCTTTTAAAAAATATATTTTAATTTAAGAAATGAACACATAGATGTTTATTATTTGTTATGGAATCTGAGTCAAGTATAGAAGCCTGGAGGGAGACAGATGTCAGCTATTCCCAGTCACAGGAAAGGAAAATCATAGTTCAGGTCCCAAGTTAATCCTTTCCCCTCTTCTCCTAAAGTGGCGCTAATCAGTGATGGTTTGGTTTCATTCCTGAAGTTTTTTTTTTTTGGTCTCAACATTTGTCTTTTAGGTTGTGGTCGCAAATGCAAAGAGACTCCCCTGGAGTTGGTGTTTGTGATTGACAGTTCAGAAAGTGTGGGGCTAAACAACTTCCGGATCATCCAAAATTTTGTGAAGTCTCTGGCTGACCGCGTTGCTGTGGACCTCTCCACAGCCCGCATAGGCATAATCAACTATAGTCATAAGGTGGAAATAGTGGCTGATTTGAGGCAGTTCTCCAGCAAGGATGATTTCAAGTTGGCTGTAGACAACATGCAGTATCTGGGAGAAGGTACCTATACGGCCACTGCCCTGCAGGCTGCCAATGACATGTTCAAGAGTGCCAGGCCAGGCATCAAGAAGGTGGCCTTGGTCATCACAGATGGACAGACAGACTCCCGAGATAAAAAGAATCTGACAGAAGTGGTGAAAGAAGCCAAAGACACTGGTGTGGAGATATTTGTGATTGGGGTGGTGAAGAAAAGTGACCCCAACTTTGACATGTTCCTTAAAGAAATGAATCTAATTGCTACTGATCCACAGCATGTATATCACTTTGATGACTTCTTGACCCTGCTAGGTAAGGCTGGGTGCCTCAGGAGAAAGGAATTTGCATTATTCTTTCAAATATTGTGTCGCTAGATTATTACCGAAAATGAAAATCAGGAGATTAATGAAGCTTATGCCAACATTAAATTGTAACTCATAAACTATCAATGTTCAAAAAAAATTTTAGTATCCTCCAGTTTGGAGGGTACAATACCATGTCTTTATTCATGCATAGTAAGGGTTGAGTTGACCTTGGAGTTGTTTAACTGAAGTATCCATGGTCAATGGACAGGAATGAAAAGAAAGACTAGGACTTGGTGATATTGTTAAGACTGGTTAATGTTCAGAAAGTTACCTAATTAGAGTAAGGGATGGAACAAGGCAGGACATAACCATGGACAAAAAAAAATGTAGTTAAAGATGCTCGTCAAATGATAATGTTATAGTTAGCTAAAGAGATGGGAAACACAAGTAATTGGGATTAGTTAGAGAGCTTGTTCTGCTCTGTGGTTTTATGAAAACGTGCTGATATCAGGAATTTATCTTGGAGAATGGCCTTTTGGATATGCATCATACTAATGCTAATCTGATGGGCTTCCCTATGCTGAATTTACCCTTTCACATGAACTGATACTTACTAATGAAACTGCCTAATATCCTGACTCATCTCTGTTTAAATTGTATCACTTTACAGTGAAATATATTCCAGTTCTTTGGAAACTGATGACTGATGCTGGCAGGGCCCAGACCTGGAAAGCTTGGGATGTAAAATTATGCTTAATGCATTTGCAGGCTTCAGTTTGTCGTTATCTTTCCTCCACCATCTACTTGGGAGTGGGGCCTGACATGGCTGGGCACCAATTGTCCAGGCCTCATGCCCTGCCCATGCCTCATGCCCTGCCCATGCCTTAGTGCCAGCACCACCAGTCCTAAGGGTAGCATACCATGCTCAGAAAGCTTATGTTTTCTATTCCTTCCTTCTCCAAGCTTCCTGACCTTAACCCCCTGCTTGGTGACTGGTGGGTCTGATATATTCAATCTCACTGGGCTGTTGATGTGTTAGAATGGCCAGAAGTAATTCATGTTTCAGGAAAAAAAAATTCTATTTTAATAACCTAAGAGCTTTATCATCTCATCTGAAGGAGTTTTTACTTTGCTACAGGCAGTGAGGAATATACTTCTTTTGCATTAGCTGGCTTTTTACTCTCCCTAAAACCAGACTAAGTGCCTATATAACTTAATGTGGACAAAGTTAACCCTTTACATAGAGTTAGGTTTACATTCACAGCTAACTGACACTTYAGATAAGTAAGCATTTAAGTTCCTCTTTTGCCTCTTTGTGCTGGGGTGTATTATGAAATTAAATAAAGTTATTTTAGATAACCTCTTATGCATAATGAAAAAAATGAACTAAATCAGTTCACTTTAGCAGTCGATTTCAAAGAATGGGGAATTTCTTATTTTAAGGAAAGTGCTGATTGCTTTAAACGGGTTTTAAGTAATGTTTCATTGCTCCTACTTTCTCCCTTTCTTTTAAAAGACACCCTGAAGCAAAAGTTGTCTACAAAAATTTGTGAGGATTTTCCTTCCTATTTAGCTAAAGTTTTTGGCTCCTCATCATCTCAACCTGAATTTGTAGTGTTGGGGGAAGAACTTGGTGTATCTACTCCAGAGCCCCCAGAAGAAATTTCTGAGTCAGTAAGTAACTGTTTTGCTTACTTTTTGAGCTTAAAATGGTGTATTCTATTTTGTATCAAAGACCTTCTTGCTCTTCGCTGTCAGAATCAGCTGGGATATGGATATTTTCATGTGCTTTGCTGTTGACCCAAGATTTCCAGTTCTGAAAGAGCTCTAGGGCTTATAAACAAGAATATGAGATTTTTTAAAATTCCATATTTGATAAGTAATTACCCACTAAATATTACAAACAATATTTTTATATCACACCTGTCAYTACCAAAGCAATCGCGTGCAATAGAACAGGTTAATAATACACTATTTGCAGATTTGTTTATACCAGGGCCACAACTCTTCTTCTTTCATCTGTGCTTCCACTCCCTGCTTTGTATCCTTTCAAGTTTTGCACATGTCCAMCTGGTCACTCTCCCATGTTCCATGCCACATTCTTGCTTACTGAGCTACCAGCTCTATGCTCAAAGTGGGGATGGAAGGRAGGTATACATATATGGCCAGGGCTTCCTGGTCATAGGGCATGAAAATAACTAGCTCCTGAATGAATTTTGAGGTAAATGTGACTGTCCTTATAGCAAGCATCTGGAAATGGATTTAAGCCAATCATACCACGAGCAGTTAGTAGGTTATTTTAGGTGCAAACTAGTAAGCAACTCCTACAGTCTCTTCTTCACCAATTTATGACTAAAGCAAGTCTAGACTGGTGTCTGCTACATATACGGACATCCTTTAGCAAGTGGGCAGGCACAGTCATGCCCTGTTCTTTAAGTTTGATGAAGTCCCTGTGTTATTCTCTCTCTCTCTCTCTCTCTCTCTCTCTCTCTCTCTCTCTCTCTCTTTCTCTCTCTCTCTCTCTCTCTCTCTTTTTAATTTTATTTAATTTTATTATTTTTTCTGTACTAGAGATTTAACTCATGGGTATTTTACCACAGAGCTACATGTACCCCAGTACCCAGGCCCCTTTTATAAAATTTTAAGACAGGGTCTTGCTAAGTTGCTTAGGGCCTCACTAAATTACTGAGGCTGGCCCTGAACCTGCAATCCTCCTGTCTCACCCAACCAAGTTGCTGGGATTACAAGCATGCACTACTGTGTTATCCTTTATATACTTGTTTTATTTTTATGTGGTGTTGTGGATTGAACTGAATGCCTCCCACGTGCCAGGCAAGCTCTCTACCACTTAGCCACAACCCCAGCCCCTGTGTTATTCTTTTATAAAGACTTCATTGAAATGAAAGAGCATCATGAACAAGAGTAAAATAGTTGGGTGTGGCTGTGCTTGCTTCTGATTCCAGTGACTTTGGAAGCTGAGGCAGGAGGATTGCAAGTTAAAGCCAGCCTCCGAAACTAAGGGAGATCCTGTCTCAAAACACAAAATGARGATTAAGAAAGGCTGGGGATATGACTCAGTGATTAAACACTCCTGGGTTCATTTCCTAGGATAAAAAAAAAAATTCTAACATCACCTTCTACTTAAACTGAGGCCTCAAGGAACATTAGATCAGTAATGGGACCCAAGGGCATTCAGCCTAGGATACAAATCTTAAGGGCACAGACTATAAGTCTCACTAATTTTTATACCCTGTTCCAAAAAGAACAGAAAGGCCTGCAACATATTTTGGAGTCCCAGAAACACTGAGTTCAGGATGATTAATGCCAATTAGGGTCACAAACTTCCCCTGGATTGTTTTGAAATCAACACACACTTTTATACCATGTGGTCTATTCCAGGGTCAGCATACTTTGCTTTTCATAAAGGGCCATATATGAACGCTGTTGGCTTGAAGGTCATTCYATTTCTATTCTAATTAGAAGTCTTGGAAGTACAAAAGTAAGCATAGATAATACTTTAATGAGTGAGCATAATTGTGTTCTGATAAAACTTATCAGAAAGATAGGCTTTGTGGTGTGGTTCAGTGGCAGAGTGTGGTTCAGCATGCATGAGGCTTTGGATTCAATCCCCAGCACCAAAACAAAACAAAAAAAAAAAACTTTTATAAAAACAGATAGAGACTAAGACTTGGCTCAGAGAGAGTTGCTGGCCGTGGTCTATACTGAGCATTTTAAATAAATCATAGACAATAATATACACAGTCTATCTCCTCCTGAGTACTATCCAATGTTGGGACCTTGCCTCCTTTTGTGACTTATCACTTTGTCCCTCTCTCAACCCATGTAAACAATCAATTTTCCAATAGGTATTTAGATGCTTCCCAATGTCTTCCTTAAAAAGATTAAGCTCAGGATTCATCTGGCAAGTAATGTTTAAACTGAACCCTCCTCATAATCATTGAATCACATTTCTTCTGTATAAATACTGATGAATTTCAGTAGCACATATTGATCATTTACTGCTATGCTAGGTTATCCAAGGAGGTAACTCTTAACACAGGGTTTCTGCCTGAGAGAAGGTCACAGTCCAGCAGGGAGATAGATAAATATAAGATGCACTGATGCTTTAAGAGTTTTCTCAGAGCTATGGATGAAGCATGAGAGATGGTGCATTTAATCTCAGGGAGAATAGTGGAAAGTGCCTTAGTTGGCTTGGGCTGAGGGTAAAAATATCATGAACTGGGTGGCTTAAACAACATTTATTTCTCACAGTTCTGAAGACTGGGGTTTAGGTTTCAATATATGAATTTTGGAGGGATGCAGCATAATTAGTCCATAACTGAAGGTTTCACAGAGGATGTGGCACTGACCCTAGAGTTGACAATAACTAAGAGTTTTTCAAAGGAAAAGTAAGAGGGAAGAGTATTCCCAGCACAGGGAATATCTAGGCACAGGCTGTATCCACAGGGGCATGGCATTTCCAGAAAAGGGGACAAGTTCAGTCTAACTGTAGCCTAGGGTGTGTATGGAAGAATGATGAGAGTTAAAGCTGGACAGGTCATTTGAGGACTAATCATAAATGGCTTTATGTGCCAACCCAAGGAGCTTGAACTTCATCTGTAGGCCAGCTAGCCTGGAGACAGCAGAGGAATTTGTAAAGTAAGGATCCTGTGGTCATATTTGTTCACAAAAAGAATCACCCTGGTTGTAGTGTGACAGGTATCTAGGAAGAGGAGTGAAGAAACCAGATATGAGGTCTGATTGTCTGGGCAAGAGATAGCAAGGCCCTAAACTGAGGCAGGGGTAGTAGGAATAAAACAGAGGCACAGGTAGGAAAGCCTTTCCTAGCAGAATTAGCAGAATTAAGCAATTGAGGGTTAGGGAGCGGGATGGGTTTTGGTATGACAATTGGGTGCCTGGATTGGAGATAGGCTAGATTGAAATATGGAGATTATAGGACAGGGCTTTTAAATTTATAAAATAAGTGTAGTTTGTACCATGTAAAGTGCCTGAGGAACATTCAAGAACGTTCTGTTATGGAATGAGGAGCATTAAGGTGATATGTCTCTGGTGTCAGGTTGCAGGAATTTGATGACTCTGAGAGTCAAGTGACATTAACAGATCATAGCAGATGAAGCATTCTAGTAACTGGGGAGGGGAAGGAACAAGAAGAGAAAATCCAGAATAGTTTGGATTTATAAAACCAATTGCTGCAAGGAGGGAAACTGAGCATTGGCCAGGTCTCTAGGAGGCCTTTGATTGAGGTAGTGGGAGCTCACAATGCACCTGAGCTTCTTGGATAGCCCCTCTTGTTGCTAGACCTTCTCACACTGGTTCTCTCTGCAGAAACACCAAGTCAATTGTGAATTTTTGAGCAATTAGTTTCTTAATAGATATTTTAATATGAGCAAACATGTATGCATTATTTTCATCTTTAAATCTGAGATATCCATTTATCTGTAGTCTGCCTACATATAAATATAATATATATATTATATATATATTCACTCCTCTTCCTATTAATATAAATATAAATATAAATATGAAAACATTTGTATTTCTATGCCCATGAAGCTATCTTTGTTTAATACCTATCGGTTCAGGTTGTTTCCTAGCTTACTCTAGGGAATAATGGAAAACCAGTAAATAATCTCAGAAGTTTTTTGTGTTGCTTTTTCCTTTCTCTGTGGTTTTTATTGCTTCCTTCAGATACCTAGCTTCTTTCAGTATTTCATTCTGTCTTTTCTTCCATTTCTTTTGAAAATCTGTTCTTAGGGTAATATCTGACATCAGTTATTTACACTTCAGTGTGCAATCTAAGTCTGTAATTTCTGCCTCAAAGAAGGACCAGCATTTTAAGCATTCTATTTAACTGTGGAATGAGATTTGATCCTGATTTACATGTGCTCTAAATATCTGAGAACAGGTATKTTGGGATATATGGAATGCAGAAAGATCTCTTCCTACTAAAATTTGTGACATTAAGCAACCCCCAGCTCTATTTCACTCACAGGCCAGTTTCAGGAAGCTAAATATGTWCGTCCATTAGAACTGTATCTCTCCTGAAATCTCTGGACAATTTATGTTTTCTTCTGGAATCTATTKTGTTTATATTGTTAATAATTATTTATGTGTGTGTCTTAACTTTCCTAGTGCATTTAAATTTTTTAAGGACATGATCTTTGTCTAAACTTTGTGTCATACTTATCTAAAATAGTGCTTTGTTTTACACACAGTAGATGCTCAATAAATGCTTATGACCAAATAAATGCCACACCAGTTGTTGAGTTAAAAGAGAAATCTGAAGATTTTTTTCCAATGAAGGACAACAATTATACTGTAATAAAAATGTTATACTATAATAAAAAGATCCTTATTTTATGGTAGTAATAATGTTAACACTTTCATGTTCATTTATTCTTTCTGGTCCAGTTGGGTTAAGATTTCCAAGATGTAAATAGGAATAGGGCAATAAAATCAAGTGAACTTCATTTTATTAGGCCAACTGATCATATCCAGTAATGGTCCATTAAGCCCATAAGCATATTAATTTCCTGCATGAAGTCACTTTTTGTCATTCTGAAAGCATTAATAAATAATGTCAGTGTCAGTTTATTTGTAGGAGTTGGTTTCTTATAATAATATCTTAGGTATTTTTTCTTCTTGAAGAAGTA